GTCGCTGTATCGGACTGTCGTGGTGAAGAGGGAGCCAAGTCGAGGGGCAAAGCTTTTGATTTACCGATCGATCTACATTCCTCACCTATGGTCATGAGATGTGGGTAATGACCGAAAATACAAGATCTCGAATACAAGTGGCTGAAATTGGTTTTCTTCACAGGGTGGCTTGGTGCACCCTTCAAGATCGTTAACCGGTAGGAGCTCGGAGTAGATCCGTTGCTCCTCCACGTCGAAAGGAGCCAGTTAAGGTGGCTCCGGCATCTATTCTGGATGCCTCCTGGTCGCATCCCTCGGGAGGTGTTCCAGGCATGTCCCATTGGGAGGAGGCCTCATGGAAGGCCCAGGACACGCTGGAGGGACTATGTCTCTGAGCTGGCCTGCTGTCGCCTCGGGGACCCCCCCAGAACAGCTGGAGGAACTGTGTGCGGATCGGGAAGTCTGGGCACTTCTGCTTAGACTGCCTGGTCCGTGACCCGGTGTAGGTACCAGATCTGCTCGGGTCCTTTGCTTGCTGGTGACGTTACGACACATGATTGGCTGAACGTTGCCACATGATGTAAAACATAGTGGTTGCCCGGACAACGATAATAACATCATGCAGTGTCCATTAGCGTGTATAATTTTGACTGATGGAGTTTTACCTGATCGACAACATATCTGAAAAATATCTGTTTATGGTGAACAAAGTAACAGTTAGACCATGATTTAAAGGGGCAGAGATGGGTAGCGATGTAGCAATGTTCAGTAGTTCACACGTTAGCTTCTTTTAGCACGGCCAGTTAGCCATATTTGAATTTTTAGCAACAACCACCGTTGGTTTTCTACAAGTAGATTAAATTATGTTTTCTTTGTCTAAAATCTCTACAAAAGCAAATAATAGCAAATATAATTAATAATATGTTGAAACTCCAAAACAGATTTGATCCTTAAGAAATGGGTTCAATACGGTTTGTTTGAGTGGAGTTGCAATATGTTGATGTCATAAGAAGGGGCAGGACCTCGAGCAGATCTGGTACCTACACCAACCCCGGATAAAGCAAATGGATTTGTTTCCCTTCTTTCCAAATTATGTTTTGAATCCAGAGAAAGAAATACTATGAAAAGGCGAGGAGTTAAAGACAAGATTTAGACAGACATTGGAATAAAGAAATTAACTTCCATTTAGTTTTTAATCCTATCCAGAACTGGAAGAAACTGATATGAATACTTTTCTAGACAACATAAGAACCAAGTTGGGGTGTTCTTTGGTTAGCGCACATGACCCATGTATGGAGGCCTTAGTCCTTGACGCGCAGACCCGGGTTCGAATTCAATCTGTGGTCCTTTGCCGCATGTCTCTCCCCCTCTCTCATACCCCCTTTTCTATAAGCCTACTGTCCAAAAAAAAAACCTCCACTAGTGTTGTAAAAACAAAAGAACCAAACAACTGAACAAAAGTACAACAGCTTTTAACAGCCTTGGAGTCCCCGGAATAAAGCAATAATTATTTTGTTTCAGTTATAATTATTCAACGGGGAAAAACACCAAAAATGATGCAGAGTTTACTAACCAGCTCAACTCAACATGGTTCACCTCCTCTTAAACCTCAGGTTGTTTTTGAGAAAATCATGCAGCACAATCTGGAACTGCCAGGCAGCAGAAACAAAGTATTTTCCATGAGCTCAATATGAGAAACACCACCTGAACTCCTGAGGAGGCAGCTGCCTCTGAGTAAATACTCCAAGAGCAGAGGTAATAAAAGCCCCTGATAAGACAAGCTGCCATCTCATTCTGATGAGGAGAGAAAGGGAAGGAAGGACAGAGAGAATAGGAGGAAAAAGGCATCTGGGAAAATAACCAACAAGTTCTAAGGACAAGCTGACACTTTTCCTGGCACATCACACATCTGAATCCGCATAAAAGCTGATAATTTTAGACAGGACTGGGATTCAATCGCAACCAAACACAAAGCAAAAAGGTTCTAGATATTATATTCCATAGATTCCTGTGTGAGCTTATAAATGTGTCCCTGTGTGAAGGGCCAGACATTCCTTCCAGTCTTTAAAAAGCTGCAGAGGAATATCAGAGATGAGTCACAGCTGTCGAGAGACCACCAGTAATGTTTAGTGGGGCAAACAGTCCCACGTACTCCCATCCAGGTTTTAGGTTCCCCCTCATCTCAATCCAAATCTACTTCAGTGTGGATCAATGGAAAGACACAAATACTTCCAGACTGACATCAAAATAAATACATCTTCAATGCACTCCCTAAGGGCATCAACCTAACCTTGAATTATTAAAAACCTCTAATAAACGGTTCTGCTTCCATGCAGGACTAACAATACAATAAAAACCTCAACAGGGCCAAGCTAACATGAGCGGCCTCAAATATTTAACAAACATTTAACTAAATCCTTTAATTAACAGTGCTGAACTTTTAGGATGTCTGAACTTGACAAGGACAAACCTATTAAGTTGTTATTGGCAGTAAAGACAGAGTGCAGTCTATAATTTATCTTTTGCAGCATAAAAACAATTTATTTTATAACCTGGCCAAGAAAATCCTGTGAACTCAGTGAAAATCTAAGAGGAAGAACACATTTTTCCATCATATCTCTCAGCTCAGACTTCACTTGGTTCATTCAGTGAAAATCTGCATCTAAACCATCTTTTCTTTCTTCAGGTGTGCCCCAGGGATTTGTTCTTGGACCTGCTTTTATTTATGTTTTTGTTTATCTCCTACCCGGTTTCTCTCAAAAGTTTTAAAAATTCTGTTTTTATTTCCATCTGGATACTGGTCGATACCTCCTCCATCCACCTTCTCCTAGCTCTAAAATGTATCTTTGTGTTTTGTTCAGAGCGCCTTAGTGTCTTTGAAGGTGCCAGAAAACAGAAACATATTACTTTTCCCCATGTTGGGAAGTCTTTAGAGTTATTCATAAAACTTTTCAGAATCCGAATGTTTCAGAAGTATACCTTTGAGAGGAAGGACTTTGTGATGTTCAAACACAAAAAGCACAATAATTCATTGACAAAAAAATACAAGAAAGAAAAAGTTCTTGAACTTTATTCAGCCTTCCTGTAATCTGCAAAAACTCTTTGCTCATGTTTTTTCTGCAAAACATGTTTTTTTTGTTTTTTTTTGCAAAAAAGAAAAATGTAAATACCGCCATATATCTCAGCCTGTCCTCTGACTCAAGCTACGGTAGTAAAAGCTAGCTTTGAGTGTTCTACCTTCAGGTACCACTACAAAGGATGTTGGTTTTTCTACGCTATTTTAATGTTTAAGCATGAATGGTTTAAATGATTGACAAAAGCATTGAGTTTCTGACGAGTCAGTCATGAGTCAGAACTTATCGAGCTATTAAGCTTTCGAGCTAAGGTGGCGACAGCTATTAGCTGAATCTCATTTTAAGATTTTCTGTGCATGATCCTTGCCTTTAAACAAAGGAAGAATAATGATTAGGGCTGCAACTAAAGATTATTTTGCAAAACAATCAATCTGTTGATTTTTTTTTGTCTGGATTATCTAATTATTAATTGGGTAGCAAAAGGTTCCTTAGATTTTTTTCATCAATTAAACCAGGTGAAAACGATTCCACTAGAGGAGTCCTGGATAGAGCATATTGACAGACAAAATTTTTTTTTATCTTAAATGCAGAATGTTTATATATTTTTTTTACAATTTTGATATAATTACTGCTCTAAGTGGGTTGCTCTGTCAGTTAAAGACATGTTTCAGAATATCTACGCTTTAGGTTATGATCACTTACTAAATTAGTTGACAATTATTTTAATAATAGATTAATCACGATTAATCCGATTAATTTTTTTAGCCCTAGTAATGATAATTTAAAAAAATCCACTTTTAACCAACAGATAATAGCTGAAGCAACACTATAAAGATATTTTGCAACAAAAAAAATACTATAGACAACAATATACATAGCCAGAGGAACATAGAGTCCATTAAATAGGCAGAATAGAGAAGTAGTCGTATTCAAAGCAATAACAACCCCACAGCCCGCAGGACCATAGGTGAAATTCTGTTACAGTTGTTTGTTTCATTTTAACCCTGGAAAAGAATAATACAATCAGACTTTACAGAAAACCAGAATTCTCCCGGACCTCTCATTGACAGATGCTTCAACACAGCTAGGAAGACTGCAGGTCTGAGTTAGTAAATAAAAGCTTATTTTGATTATGACAAGTGTAAAATGTTTGCATATTCTGCTGTGGAGAAGGCCTGCAGCGTGGGAAATAACAGAGGGATAATAACAGACCTGATGACTTGCTTGCTTAGAAGCGCTTCTAGCTTTAACTACAGATATGCACGTATTACAAAGGAAGATGAAGGAAACTGGGAGATTTCTCTGACTGACATGAGCACCATTGTTTTCATCTACGTCTAACATCTGTAAGAAGGATCACAGATCTCTAAAAGCTTCAATGTAACTCCTTTTATCCTCAAGTTCACAACATTCAGTAAACCATCACAGAAAACCACACCCACATCGTTTCAGTGCTACTCAGACCACAAGAAGCACAGCAATCTTCATCCTTTGTTTGGATTTGAAAAACAAAGACATCAAATAAATTTCCCAGTAAATCTAACCTCTGACCTTATGTTGCAACAGCTACTCCTCTCAGCCTCTGTCTATTTTTTGTTTAAGATAACAGAGTTTGACTTTGTGACCTCTGAACAATAAATCAGAGTCAACTTCTCTGATGTCAGGTTCACACTTGAGCATTTGGGAAGACAAGCAACAGATGAGCCCAACGGAGGCCTGGAAGCAAGACTGTCAGGCTGACGAGTTCACAGAGGGTCAAGGTGAGTTCAACCACTGGTGCCGTTAACTAAACTTGACTAAACATCTAATCTGCTGTTTAAAGCCCAAAAGTAGATGGAATTATCTGATTAAAAGGAAGGGACACAGAATAATGATTCAGCTAAGAAAATCAAGTTTATAAGAAAGTCCAGCATCGATTTTATCCACTCTAACCAAATAACAACTCACTCTGTCTTTGTCGTCGGCCACATCGCAAAGCACATCATCCAAGTCTAGGATCCCACCGTCACCATGCTCAAGTCGATGGACTTGCAACCAGTAGTTTGCATCCTAGTAAACAAAAAGGGAAAAAAAGGTTAATGGATAAACCCAGCAATCAGATTGTACTGTTTTTTTATTGTTCTATGCAATGTTTAGGTAGAAAGTGCAGTACAAAAATACAAATTTAGTGAGTTCTCAGTTCTTTATACGTCCAGATTTAGAGCACAAACAAAAATTCATCACAGATACAGAGATCAGACACTGAATGTAGAAATGAGAAAGAACACATTAGGTCTGACTGGATTACAGAGGGACAATGGACGATCAGATATTGGATATCCATTGGAGATCCATTCAAGCGCACTTCAAAAGGAACTGTTATTTCTTTATTTTTGCTGCTTATGTACGCTTTGTTTGTTCATAAATAACTTACATTTATGTGTGTTAATGTTTTACCTTTTTTAACAATGTTTATGTCAAGGCTAGAGCCTTCACTCGGATATATAGTTCATTCATTTAAAAGTTGAATCGTATCGGATATCGGTCGATATTATCAGCCCAGGTGTCGGTATCGGAAAATATTGGATTGGTGCATCTCTAGTAATGACCAACTGACAGAAAAGAGTTGGAAAAACTAACTGATGGATGGAGAAGGGGAAGGACGGGCTGACGGATAAAACAACAAGGGGACGGATGAACTGACTGACAAAAATCAAAATAGTTCAGGGTTGCTTTAAAAAATACTAATAAAAAATGTATTGATTGACAAGGGTATGGAAAAGAATAAAATGATACCTGCTGCTGTCATGTCATCTGTGTTAAACAAGCATTGTAAACATTCTCGGCAAGAACTTCATTACCCTCTAAAAACATCATGGAGACTGAAAGAAAACCCAAACACCAAATGCAGAACAGGCTCTTTTATTAAGAAACACTGATTAGGCATTAAAGCATGAAATTCCTCTTCTATGGATGTTCAGTGGAGCCTTAATAATCAAAGCTGGAAGGGAATCCACCCACAGCTACAGTTCAAATGACTCCAGCTACCATGACATTAAGAAACACAAGAGGCCTTGTAAGAATATAAGGAGTGGAGTCAAGGACAGATTTGATTATTCGTACATGAAAACAGCAATTAGCGATAAGCTAAAGTTAAAAAAGTTATTATGTAAGATACGTATTACAGACAGAAATTATCAATAAACGATTAGACTAAAATATGTTTTTTTCAATGAAAGACTGTAACAATTATTGCAATTGTTACACAATTCATACCTACATATATCACTTATGAAAGAACAAAGTTTAGCCCTGATTGGAGTTTGTAGTTCAGCTACTGTGAACTAGAATCATGCTGCAGCCCTGAAAGTTAGAAAGCTTCATCAATGCACAAAAGAGCATGGCAAATAGATATGATAGAAAGGCTAAAAGGCAACACAATAAAAAGGTGATTTTATCATTTAGCATTTGATAAACAAAAGGTTGTTAAACATAAAGGAGAACTGTGATGCTGATAAAAGGGAACAATGAAGTATCTTAACAGCTCTGGATGCCAGCTGGCATCTCACTCTAGCTTCCCCTAAAGACATAGTTACAAAATAAATAAAACATGCATTTTGTTTATGTTGCCTTTAGGGACAAGATTTAAAAAATTATTGTTTTTTTTAATGTTGCTTAAATCTTGAAAAAAAAAAAATTGAAGTTTCATCTGAAATATGAGTTATTTTGCAAACACTGGACTGACGATTATCGGTTGGAAAATGTTAACATATCGCCAAACCTTAGTAGATGCTACATTTCTTGACAGTTTGTACCATTTCTGCAGGATCTTGGCATAACAAACTAAAGCCTCTTTCCCACTGATACTACCTGGTTAACGCCTCTTTTCAAACATGGGTCGACCCGCTAATAATCAGCATTTAGCTTCCTTCCCATTGGCAAAAAAGCTTGGCTTAACCCCTCCCTAGCAAGCTGTCCCCACGCAGCTACATGTCTCGTTACATCATCATGCTGGGTTAGATTTGATGTTAAAGGGCTGGTTTTACTCCCGCAGCAGTGTCGCATTTAGCTTTTCGCAGGTAGGATGAAGAGATTTTTGATTTATGCCCAATTTTGAAGCGTGGTCTGCGCTATGTTATTCCACGCCACAATGCAAGAGGGACAATCACGAACTAGGTAGGATTGTGGGTGTCTGTGTGACGAGCGTGTTCGCCGTCTACAACCCCTCATCCAATGCAGGACGACACATTTCAGCTCGTGAGTGTTCCCCAAAGACTGGCCGTGGCGCTGCGTATTTTGGTTTCGGATGGAAACTAACAGACTGCTGCACAGAGTTACAAACTAACGTTCTGTACGGTGTCAGGGATAGTGTTTGAGGTATGCCAGGCTCTAGGAGGAGGAGCAACCTCCTCCAGACAAGACTCTACTGTACATCTACACCTTATCAACAAAGGACATTCTTTTGAGGACCAGAATGTTCACAATTTGGAAAAAGAAAATAGGTGGTTTGAGAGGGATGTGAAGGAAGCCATCTATGTTAAGAAAGAAAAACCAACCAACCAACCAACAGAGGGGGTGGACTGAGATTTCAGTTTTCAAAAACTTACAATGCAGCAATTGAGTTAATCCATTCCCACTATCATCACAGCCCCACTCCCTGTACAGCAGAGCGGAGGACCTTGTCTATTCAGCCAGGCCAACAACCATATCTGCGTTAACTGCGACACACACGCAGACAACCTGGTTTCTGAGCATAAACCAGGCGTAAAGAAGCCGAGGCGCAGTAAGTGTGCTTTATTGTTTCGCAGCTTTACCTGTCAGAAACTCTCTAGCGCTGCATCATGTTTGTCAAATGTAAACAGAGTTGTTTCTGCTTGTTAGATCAGACGCGACTGTTACGGTGTGACCGTATGTTGAGATCAATGGTGTGACATAATTTACCGGGTCAACCCAGGACTAGTGTTTCCCTGGCATCCCATCAGGGCTGAGGAGATTTTAACACGGGTCACTTGCCGAGTCGTTTGAACCGGGTAGACACGCTCCAGTCAGCTGTTCCCACTGCCACTAAAATCTGAATTTTCCCGCATTTGAATGGGTTTTTAAACCATTGGGAAATGATTATAACAGAACATGAAGCATGAAGCTGAATCCATAAACTCCGGGTGTTTTCATGTAAAAAATATTAAATTAGAAGCGGCATTCTTTGTCATAAAGACGCCACCATCTTGTTTTATATGCAACCAATAATAAGGACTTGTCTCCTACCACCTGATGTGGCCTGGGCCAAGTCTTATATTGAGTTTATTCCATATTTAGGACCAGATCAAACAGTGTGTAAATATGCGTGTGTGTGAGTGTCATTCTGTGGGGGCCAAGTTCGGCGTGCAAAAATAGCACACCGCAAATTCCCCATGACCAACTGCAAACAAGGGAAGCATAGTAAACAAGTTAACAAGCCTGACAGAAACAGAAAAACAAGTCACCACCCACAAAACACACAGCTCTCTCTGATGTGGGCCTGTGCAGAAATAATGCTCATCACATCTCCCTCCTAAAGAACAAACAATGTAAAGCTCTCAGCAGTACTGTACATCCATCCACTCTCTCCTGCTCCCCCTAGGAGCTAATAATGAATTACACGATAGCTTGATATGATGGGGGCAGTGAATGACCTGGACAGATCTAGAGCTGGGTCACCAAAGTCATCTACTGTTTCAATGCTCATCTGTCCGACAGCAGACCTGGAAGGAGGCCAAAGGCGGCACCGTGACAGTCAGTGGGAAGGCTGGCTTCTGATTTAACACAGACAAGCCGGCCTGTGGAGCACGCTGCGTAAAAGAGACCAAACAGCGTGTCAACTTCTCTGATTAGAACATCTACTGCGCAATAAGGGAGGCTTTAGGAAATAATGCAGTATTTATCAACTCACTGTGGCTTAAATCAACTTTGATCATATCTATACAAATTATATTTAGTTTAAACCAACAAAAACGGTGTAGTGAGAAGAAATAATAGGTCAAAAATATAAATAAAAAATGACAACAAATATAGTTTATAATAGCAAATGTGGAATAAAAACAAGACAAGGAAAACTTGATGTGGTACCATTGATGTATTATCTCAAAATATAAGTCTTGAAGCCAAAGCTTTGGCACATATCACACTAATAAAAAAAATAAAAAATCACCAAATCAGTGACTAAATGACTGAAAGACACAGTTTTTTTTTTTAAATAGTCTCAGTTTAAGAGACAATTTGAGAAAAGAACTTCCAAGCTTTAAATGAGCAAGATAAACCTGATCCGCTTGATCCAGTCCTTTGAGGAGAAATGGGCCCAAATTTAAGCAAAATAAATTAGTGTTAGCCCAAATTTCTTATTTATATAAACACAAATCATTTAAGTAATCCTATTTAATGTCTCTTAATCTCTAAGTTGAACTGGATTATCTCATTGTATACACTGGGTTTCTTGACTTTTTTTGTGCTTATATCCCAGAGTTCCCTCTTTTTTTATTTATTTCAAAAACTGAAACAAAAATGTACAATAAATTGATGTAAGGTATTCCCTAAAGTGGAGTTTAAATGAAAGCTACTGAACTTGGACTGAAATGAATGATGGTTAGAGCAGGAAGAGGAAGGAAAGGAGGGAAAAAGAGTAAGAGAAGGATGAGCTAGGATGGAAGAAAAAAAGAAAGAAAGATAAAGGAAGCAAGAAAAGAAGATGAGAAAGACCAGAGATAATTTTCTACATCATGAATTTCTTATCCCATACTATCGTAAATCAGGAAAAAAAAACAAGAAAAAACAAAGATCAGTCAAATTTTTCTAGGGAGATCACAGTGTTTTATAATCTCTGCAGGTCAAATCCCATTCTAGGACCTGTGTTTTTTGGTTTATCTCAAACTCATTACTTTAAAGGCAAACCACAGACTTTGTGACCTAAAGAGTTGACGCATATGAGTTATTTTAAATGATTCCTCAGGCCAATACACAGTTCTTGACACTCAATGCTACAAGCTGGGCTCCCCTTTTGAAATACCGACTACGTAAGTAGGGAGAAGACGCACCCT